CAGGGTCGAACAACCAACGCTTCCAACGAACAACATACGAATCATTTTGATTCTCTCTGCTCGGCTCTAGAACTCTAAAGCTGAACGGAGCAACACTCAGCGCACGTCGGAGCTCCAGTCACTCTTGGCCCTTCGGTCCGGAGTCCGACCGGACCTCTGATACCCCCATCTTACTCCATCTCGTTTGTAACCCTACAGCAAACTTCGAGCACCTGTGCTCAGGAATAAAGTCAGCAACCGACTCAAACTGGACGTAGGGCACGTTGTCTAAACCAGTATAAACCCTGTGTCATTGAGTGATAGGCCATATCCGATCACAACGTACGGCAAAACTACAAATATTTACGTGTTGGTTACTTTTCACACCGACACATCCGGTTGAACTGATGCTGGACTTGGCGAATCTACTTTTCTTGATCAATCTTTTAATCATTGTAAGTTTGAAAAACCGAAACCAAATTGTCCAACTAATCTGACCTTTGCATTATTTAGAATTTAATCAACCTTTCTAGCCCAATATTGACCATGTTTTATTTTGCTACCAGGTCCACAATATTGACCATGGTTTTGCATGAGTATACAACTTGTAAAACATGAAGTAGCATGGAGTTCGCTTGAACTTATCAGTCCGGTACAATTTTTTTCTCTCGCAAGAAAACAACATCAGTCGGCTTATTAGCCGTAAAAACCATCAGCCAAACACTTTCGCAGGATTCTACATATTAATTTTTTTATTACAACTGAACTTAATAGCGACTATATGGATTTGTAAGAGACCTTGTTTTATTAATACCAAGTGTTCTACATATCATGGTCCTAGGCGTTAAATCATATAAAATGTGCAACATTTAAATAATCTTTCAGATTTACCAGTTTCCAACTGTGTTATTATCCACATTCTGCAATTGTTTACTCAATTGCCCACGTTCACACTGGAACATAAACACTGAAAAAGGAACCTCCTTAACACGGCAATTATTAAGCATGTTATTGTTTTGCATACAAATATAACTAGTACGTACAGTACATACTATCGTTGATTTATGTGTAAATAACATGACCAGTAATATTGAATTTTAAAAGCTGACCAATAAAAAGTAAACATTGAAACATACATGTTCGGCTGGTATTAAAGCCGGCTGATAAGCCGGCTGAAACTGTTTTACTGTGAGAGAAAAATACTGTAGATTCTAACTGATAAGCCGACTGATAAGTTCAAACGAACAGGCCCGCGTAACAAATAATTGTGTGTCAACATGTAAGCTCAAGGTTAGAGGACATTTATGGGTATTAATATGCATGCAGTATTTTCCAAAATTTAAGAATATCGGCACAATATTTTGACCACGAACGAGTACTTTATCATGTTTTTAGCATGTACGATACTAATGCTAGATTATTATTACATGGTTCTTAAACACGGTGAGGTAAGAACAGTGGAGCAACGAGATGGCCCAGTCAAATGAGAGTTTTATGGCGTTGTTTTCGAGATAATGGAACTTGAATGAAATAATCATTTTTATGTAAAATTTTATTTTATAGTTTTATAGACATTTAATTTTATAGCTTAAAAATAGTTGGTAATTATGTGAAGAGAGTTTCATTTTATTTTCTCTCTTTTCTTAAATATATATTGTTATATCATATATATATATATATATAGTTAATGTAAACAAAACTCACGTCAAATTTGGCCGAGACTGACATAAAAGAACTGAGTTCTACGACTGGCCGATGTGTACGGCAAAAGTCGAGTGGAACATGGGGGCGACCGAACTCAGACAATAAAACGAGCTGTCGGTCTGGTGTTGAGCAAATGAAGATTCAGGCTGTGTTTAGTTCATGAAATTTAAAAATTTGATTACGGTAGCATTTTTGTTTTTATTTAACAATTTGTATTTAATCATAGACTAATTAGGCTCAAAACGTTCGTCTCGCGATTTCCAACTAAACTGTGTAATTAATTTTTTTTGTCTACATTTAATGCTCTATACACGTACCATAAGATTCAATGTAATAGCTACTATAGCACTTTTTAAACTAAACACGGACACAGAGGTGAGCCAACAGGCTACATAGCTGCACTGTTTGCTTGCGGCCTCTGTTCTAAGGACTGGTCCCCACGAAGGAGACACAAGCAGGTTCGGTAATTTTTGAAAATATCACTGGAGGGCTCGTCCAGGTGTCGACAAATTTTCAGTTTATAGTCCCTCCGTCGACAAAAGTTTGCAATTATGCCGTACCAGTCGAGGTATCTTATGACCAACTTTACAGTAAATAGTATTAATATTTATGTTTTCAAATAAATTTATTATGAAAATAGATTACATGATGAATTTAATGGTACTTATTTTTATATCATGAATGTTAGTAAATTTTTATACAAATTAGACAAAGTTGAGACTGTTTGACTTTTCGAAAAACGAAAATTGCATTTTGTTTTTTACGGAGTGAGTATTTTTGTATGCAACGGCTACTACAGGAGGGGTGGTCTAGTAATGCACGGATCGTATAGTAATTGTCTAAGTAATTGTGAATAGGGATCGTCCTAAACTCTGTGAGGACAGGTTGGTGGAGACTAAGCCATGTTCGCTTTAACTTATCAACTATGGCATAATGTTTTCTTTCACAACAAAACAACATTAGCCGGCTTATCAGTCGTAAAAACCATCAGCCGAATAGTCAATAATTCTATTATTAAGCATGTTCTAATATTGCATGCGCATGAATCGTAATTAGGGAATGCTGAGTGTTTGAACAAGGAGATTAACCATTACGAGGAAAGAAAACTCCATTTATGCTAAAACAAATGAGTACAACCACACGGGTTCATTACATCAATTTCGGAACAAAGTTTTGAGTGAGAGAGTTAATATTCGGGAACCTAGTTTTTTTTTTAATTTCCCTGGGAAATATAGAATTGAAAATTGCCCTAAGTGGGGCCAAGAAAAATCAACACATAAAAGACGCATATAAATGGTGTACTTATGATACAAATTATCATATATGCATACAAAGTATTAAACCCAAAATCTAGTGGGGCCCACAGAATGTTCTATCATTACAAATGGAAACAATATCAATATTATACTAGTTTTGTTTGTTAAATTGGTGCTAACACAGTGGTGAAGTCAGATTATCAAATTGGATAGCGCTTCAACGGAGAATTGTGTAGTTTCACATTCGTGTTGGGAGCTGCTACCGGATGCATGACCCAGTGGGCGTAGAGGGCTGGCTTTGGCAGCTTAGGTTGATATTTATGATGATTTATTATAAAAAAAAATATTGTTCGTTTGTTAAAAAAAATACTGTCGAAGTACAGAGAGGGCCTTAGATCCCTCGTCCTGTCCAATTTCAGTTTACCATCGATCAGCATGTTCGTTTGGTCGTATTTGGCTTATAAGCCATGATTTATCAGCCAACGAACAGTATTTTCCTCTCACACCAAACTAGTCAATAGTACTTTCAATCGTGACTTCTTAGCCAAACAATCAAACGAACATGACAAATGCTTTTCGAGGGTACCACGCCGGTGAAACAGTGACAGCCGCACTTCAGCACAGCAGTCGGGACCCTGCAGTAGAGTTCCATTCACCAATACCTGAGCACACTTTGCGAGTTGTTGGACTCGTTACTATTAGTATGTTTGGATATTTTCATCTAGAGAAATTAAAATCTACTTAATAAACTAAGCTATTTAATTTAGAATTTGAAATTTCACCACTTTTTTTAATTTACATATAAGTCTATCTCAAATTCATAAGGGGAGAGATGAAAATTAATTATATAAATCACCATTATATGTTTCTACTTTCCAACTTATAACACACTCTTTAATTTGCTTTTCTAGGATAGATGCAATGCAACACATAAGTATATCTCTCGTATAGCCAACAATAATATACAAATACAATCTATATATAACCATATTAGCTTAATTAATATAAAGGATATGTCTAAATTATAATTATTAAAATGAATTCAATTATAAGGATCAAAGAAGACCCAGGTTAATCTCAGTTGGGAAGGTACAAACGTGATTAGTACGTGCATGCAGACGTAATTATTTATCCGACACTCTGAAAATTTGAGTTATAAAATCCCTACTATTGTCAGTGACAAGATATTATAATTTAATCATGCCGCCCATGTGTACTGTGTTTGTTTCCAACTCTTAAACTTTAGTCCCTATCATATTAGATGTTTGGACATATGCATGTAGTATTAAATATAGACTAATTACGAAACTAAATACACAGATGTAGATTAATTTACGAGACGAATTTTTTAAGCCTAATTAGTTCATGATTTGACAATGTTGTGCTACAGTAATCTTATGCTAATGATGAATTAATTATGCTTAATAAATTCGTCTCACGGATTACTGAGGATTTCTGTAATTTATTTTATTTTTACTGTCCAAACGCTCGATGTAACACCCCATATGACATCCGATATGACATGGACCTACCCCTTCCATCACTAAATAAATGTTGTTCTTGTTTACTGATAAATAACTTTGACTAATTTTATAAAAAAATATTAATATTTATGGTACACATTTAATATCATTAGATAGATCATTGAATTTATTTTCATAATAAATTTATTTAAAAATACAAATATTATCCATATTTTTATAAATCGTTTAAAAAAACGACCGTTACAAGCATTATGCAAAGCAGTCGGCTGCAGCGGAGGCAGGGAGGGAGCATGGACTACTGAACCTGTTCTGTTCTGCCATTGTTGCTGCTTCGTTCGACTGTACCATATTTATTGCACGTACTGTTTTCCAACGTCTTTACGGGCATTCACTGTTTCGTATCCCTGTTTTTATTCCTTCCTTCTTCCCCACGACGACCTCCTGTTCGTCTTGACTGGAGTAGTCTTCCTTGTTTGAAACGCAATGCTTCAGCTCCAACGTTTCAGTCCCCTCCAAATCTCTTGGGGTTTCTAACCCCGCAGATCCGCAAGTTTCTTTGCTACTAGATTCTTTCATAATGGGCCGGGCCAAGAGGGTGAAAAGAGCACCTGCACGAAGTGGGGAATCATCTTGCCATCCAACTCGTGATTCTCTTAGCAATCGTTTGACTCCCTCGCCTGAAGCTGCAGAGGTATTCTACATTACATTACATTTTTCCCTTTTTTCTTCTCCGTTTTAGCTTATACCCAGATTCTTTTTTTTATCGATGAGCACATACCTTTTTTTTTAATGAAATTTAGGTTTGCTGTTGGTATACTTTGATCTGATGTGATTTGGCACCGCATCTTGCTAATTATTCTGCTCCTTTTGTGTAGTGCTGGTACTGGTCTAGTTATCGAAACCTATTTCGCTCTTTTGTTCCCGCGATAGCACTATCTAATTCTATTAATTTCACACCAGAATCTTCTTCACATTTACTGAGCTGCACTGTATACTCCCGTAGGATTTAATATTATTACGATCCATCCTTTTATTTCTTTGTTTACCAACTCTCTTTCTAAATTGTAACTAACTGGAGACAAATCACGTCTGTGCGTCCTCATACTCCGATAGATTTTTTACTTCTATAGAGTTGAACTCAACGTTCTTCGAATTAGCACTGTGACTTGTTTCGTAAATGTTTTTTTATGGAATCTTACACTAATGTGTCAACATTTTTGACAAGATTCTATTAATTTTGGTTTGTTCTTATTTACAATGAAGGGCAGGCCTGGTGCATTGGTGAGAGCTGTCTCCCCTAGGTCGTGGGTTCGAAGCAGCCGCTCCGTAGATTTTGCGAGGGAAGGCTTGCCTCGGTTTTTCCCTTCCCCAGACCCTACTCATGTGGGAGCCTCCGGCACTGGGTCTGTCTCCTTTTTTTTTTTGTTCTTATTTACAATGGACCCAGGATGATTATTGTTTTCCTGTGGACGCTGCACGATTTGAGTCTGGATCTTTTGCCTCGAGGTGTTCAGTTAGATTGATTCATGAAGTTGTATCCAAGTTTGATTTGAAGAAGAGGGATCTTGTAAAATCTACTGGTTTTGAAGGCATATTACATTTTCCTTGTATCAAGCAGATAAACAGGAAGTTTGGACTTTGGCTTATGAGTTGTGTTGACGAGTCGTCCCAGACACTTGTCATCGGTGATAATATCGGGATCAAATTTTCTAAAGAAGACGTTGGAAAGGTTATTGGAATACCCTGTGCTGGCAAGAGGATATTAGACAATCGGTTATCTACACGTGATGCAAAACACAAGGTTTTACAAGAGTATCTTGGTTATCAATTCAAGGAACAGAGGAGTATAAAACAAGTCCAGGAAATTATTGAGCGTTCTTATGACCATCCTATGACCAAGCTACAAGAAGATGCCTTTAGAGTTGCATTCGTTGTGTTTGTTGTTTCCAATCTTCTCTCGCCATCTGGCTAAGCATGATTATGCATCTATTGATTATTGGGCGGCTATTGAGAATGCAGATTCCATTATCACTTATGATTGGTCTGAATATGTTATGTTATCATGAGGTTGTTGGATGCTGTTACTAAATTGAAGCAGGATGTGTCAAGTGGTATAAATTTCCCAAATGTTACAGGTTGCTCCATGTTTTTGCAGGTATATTCATAACTACTATCTAGTTCCCTGTTTCTACTTTTATACCTTGTATGATCGTCTTTAGTTTTATATTCTTTCCCTCGTTTTCAGGTATTTTACTTAGTGTTGACCTAGGCGACCTGTCAATGGTACACAGTTCATTTCCTAGGATAAGGGAATTTTCGTACGATAAGCTGCGTGTCATGATACGTGCCGATAAGAATTATTCCAAATATCTTAATGCAAATGATGATGCCCCGCATGTCAAGGTCAGTGTTTGCACGCCTGTCTTATGCCATGGATTTTTTTTTTCTAGTTGAATGGTTAAATGGTTTCAATTTTCTGGAGCTATGTATATATATCCTTTATCATGCAAACAATTGATTAGTAATTGGTATTGTTCATTGCAGCTGAGGGATGCAGCTGAATGTTGCTATTATTGGGCTGCACATTCTTCACCAGGTTCTGACGTGTCTAGAAGCGACTGTCTTTTAGCCATTTGGGAATCTTCAGTTGCTATGGCTCCGCTGTTAGACATTCCAATGGAGGTAGTGTGGTGTTGTCTATATTTCAAATGTCTAAATTTTAGATTGAAACTCTGACATCGCATGGTAATTCAATTTTGTTTTAATCAGCATACAAAAAAACCAATTCACCTTGAATGAAACTCTTCACCATCTAATTTATGTGATCTTCAAAACAGGCCGCTGGTCCTTTGTTTGTCGCAGCTGCCGATTTTCAGGATCAGATAAATTCTGGCCTTTCTGTATCCGGTATTCACGCAATCAAGTTCATGACAGTGCTTGTTTCAATCATGCTGGCATACAAAGATGGGTTTAGCTATCAATTCACTCTTGATGAAGAACATATGAGAGCTGGTAAGTCCAACCTTTTTTCTTTGTTGTTTGATTCATCCCCAAATTTTTTATCATTTGTTGCTTATGAAACCTTTTTTTCCTTTTTTTAGTATATCTATTTCAACTATGTCATCTACAATGATACCCGTAATTATGTTGTATGTACGAATTATTGTCCCTCTTTCTTAAATCAACATGCCTCTTTGCCTCAGTAACCATATACTCTGTCAACATAATCTGTTGTGTCTGATAACAATGCTACCTTATCATGATCGTGGTCCTGTGTCTTTGATACAGGTTACTAAGATTATAGCTCGTAACAATTAAATCTTTTGTAGAAGTTCACATTCTCCTTCCAGTAAGTTTTTAGTGAGAATGCCATGTCATTTTTTAAGCCAGTCATATTTGTTTCCTCATAATATGAAGTAGTCAATGGTGTAAACAGACTACAAACATCTCACAAAATCATTGTTGGCATCTATTTAAACTCGATGTCCTTGTACCTTTGCAAAGATTTGTCTAACTTCGGTCTTTTTTCATAGTTGGCTCCAGCCCTGATGTGATTGCATCTGCAGTATCAAGTGGTATACGACTTATCTCTGTTCCTATTAGTAAGAAGCGGAAACATCTTGACAGCCCGGTTTCATCTGCAGAGGTCAACAACCCTCGTGCTAACCCAGATTCTCATGCTGAACCATCTAATTCCCATGATGCATCTTCTTCTAAACAAGTCCATCGCAGTTTGCATCATAGGATTATTGGTGACAATGTGCAAAGGTCATTTAAAGCTGCTATGTCATCGCTGGATGACATGCCACACCAGCTGAATGTGAACCTTCGTGTAGGCACCGTAATGTCTCAGTTCTATTCATTGGTTAGAAGGCTCAAGTTGCCAGCAGATATTGATCTTAATGCGATTGCTTTTGATGATTCGAATGCTTCACATGGAACTAAACAATTTGGAACCAGTACTTTTAGTTCACCGCCGTCACCTTGGGCTCTTGGATATTCGTGGAAGACCAACGACGTGAACGCGTCGGATGTTTTTGCCAAGCTCCACCGTGTCCGAGATGATGAAGGGTATCACTTTTTTGCGTTCACATAATGCATTTCCTTTTGGGCCTTTGTTCATATGTATATATTTGTTTCCAACTTTCTTAAGATACTCTAATTCTAGTTCTTCAACACCTGTAACGTGTGTTCCTTTTTTTCTGTAGCTTTATTATTGTATACAGGAATCCCAAGCACATACAAGTTTCTGTCCGTTCTTTCCGTTCTCAGATTTTAGGCATGTCTGAGATGGAATTGGACTTGTTTGATGCAATAATTCGCCTTGTCAAACAGGATGATGATGCACTATATCAATCTGTATCTAATATGAGATGGAGGCGTTTCTTTGAGTCAGACTTTATGGTACCTTTCTTATTATTTACTCAGTCTCTTTAACATATTGTACTTTACTATTTTTTATAAGTGAATGCAAAAGGAAATCAACTCAAGCTTCACTGTAAAATTTCTATTATTCTTTCTTAGAGTTATTTGAGTATGTTGTCCATCTGATCCAATAGCAGACATTGTATCGCGGGCAATTAATATTTTCTTTTCGTACTCTTATCTTCCTTTGATTTTGTACCATGTTCCTTTTGGTATAGGAGTCAATTATGTCCGGATCTTTTGACTTGTCTGCTACCAAGCTCCGCCATCACTTCTCGCTGTGTAACATGTCATATGATTTAAGCAATTGCAAACTTGTAAGTCATACAGATACATTTATTTCTAGTTCTCGTTCAGCTGTACTTGTCCAACCATAACTTCACTTTATTGTTAGCAATATGCATCTCTTAACGCCCAATTCCAATGTGCAGCTCTTCTTTCCTGCTCTACTGCAATATCGGTGGGTATGCTATGTATGGTGTCTGGAAAACAACGTTATATATGTATTTGACCCGAGCTATGCTATGTCAACTCCTGATAGTACGGTTGAATCACATGAATGAACATGCTACTTACTTAAGCTAGCAATGCGCACAGTCTCTCGAACAATGTTTCAAGGATGGCACAATGAATGGACCTCTGCAGAATTGCAAATTATGACGTGGTTGGACAAATCTGTTCCATGGTGAGCATCTTATCTCAATACTTCTTGGCCAGCCAATGTTTCAAATCTAACCTGAGGACATGTTTGTTTTCAATGTAGTTCTAATAGAACTGGAGCGCTATGTGCTCTTTTCTGTCATTGTTTTGACGGTGCTGATCTAACCCCGAGCCTGAAATCGGTATGATATCTTATAACTAATCTTTCACTACGTTATTTTGCATTGTATACGGACCATACTCTATGCATGTAAATGAACAGTGCTTTTTATGATGTGACCTATAGACCGTTCCTTTGCCAACATGTTGCATGATTATTTACACTTGACTGTGGTTTATACTTTTGTCTCTTAGGTCGACGCAGATGCCATTGCCGCAAAGCTAACTGGAGAAATTGGGCAGCTTAAGGGCAACATAGGCAGAATTCCTCCATCTTTAACATAATAATTGTAGCAGAATGCCTACTTCAGATTTTTTTGAAGACAATGCCTACCTCAAGGTAATTTATGTTAAATGGTGCCTTCTTTGTAAATACTCATTTGGGTATTATGCCTAATCCTGCTTGTAAATTGAAAGAATGATTCTGAAATGGTGACAAAGTTGTGCTTTCTGACGATTTGTGTTTTCTCTTTTGTGAATATGTTGCCCCATTGCAGGTTGACCGCCAGATGGTGGAGGCAAACCTTTCTCAGCAAGCTTGAAAGCATCAGTCCCTACATCACACATGCAAGTACCTTCTAGGTATGCCATGATCATTAGTGGACTTATATGTATCATACAATCCTCTATTTGTCTTGGTAATTCTAGCTAGAAGAAGTGGCTAGACAGTAAGCCTCCCGGCAGGCACCGGTCATGTTGCCATGAGATTTCATTCTCTCAAAAACGGATTAATTTACTTATTTCAAACTTGCCTTGAGATTTTATTCAGTGAAAATGGATTAATTTACTTATTTCATGTTTGCCATAAACTATGAAGCCTCACAGCAGGCGTTGGTCCCTAGTGGTACTGTTCATGTAACCAGGACATTTCATTCTATCAAAATGTATCAGTTTACTTAAGTTACACTCTTATAATTGTCTTAGTAATTCTAACTAGGAGTTAAATATGTTCTATTGTCTTCCACCCTCGTCATTTTCTTATGCACTGTACTAATAGCTTGTGTAGCTGGTAGCTTTGTGCGGTATTTTGTTTTAAACTACAAATCACCTGGTACTAAATTACTAATAGCTTTTGCACTGCTCATTGTTTGCAGTTGCAGCTAATGACGCCGTTTTCCAACAAGGGTTTCGCCTGCGAGCTACTAAAGAAGTCGTCCCTATCAGTCCATGGATGTTAAATCGGCGCTCAATAAGGCTTTCATTTCAATATATGTCATGATTGCCTGTGTGCCAACTTTTGTTCTATTAACTTTCCATGGCTCCACTCATAATTCGTTTCATTCACCAGGCATTCCAAGTTTGCTTAGGTTTAACTAATGGTACTGTAATTTCTCTAGCGGACCCTCTGAAAGCTACTGCTTTATTGTTGGAAGACTATGTACTGAATTTGTTTGCTTAATGCTCTATGACACTAAGTATTCAGATCGCAAGATGTTGTCTTTATGCTTTCCTTCAACTTTCAAAACTTCAATTTTATTTTATTTTTTACTTATTTCATAGGGTCTGTCTCAGGGTCGGGTGACCCTTCCCCTCCCACCGCAGCGCCTCCTCGTGTTCTTCTCGCTCGCCGGCGCCCTGCCTCCCCCACCCCGCCTCATCCACCGCCGCCACGGCCGCGGCTGCCTCGCCGCCGGCCGGCCCGCCCACCGTTCGCCCCTGCCTCGTCGACCCTGCCCTCCCCTAAATTCAAGGAAGGTCGCCGACGGATGTCCACCTCGTCCTCGCACACCCCTGCCCTGGATGTTCTGTAGGTGTTGAAAATTAAAATGCGACCATACAGCTTTTGACACCTCTCACACAAGTTCCCAAGTAGTTATGCAGTCTGATCTCTTGATTCCATTTTGAAGGTTTTAGGTACCGGAAGCTGAATAGTGGAGTCAAATTCGAAGGTACTCTAACAATGAGTTGTCCCACAGTTTTCAGTTATGATTCTAATTGTTCATGGACAAATTACTCTTCTTGATCTGAAGATATCGTTGAGGGGAAGGGGCCTGAAACATGGGAAGGCGATCTGGTGCAGTTCAACTACGTCTGTCGTCGCGCAAATAGTTATTTCGTGCATAGGTGTGCAGTACATACATTGAAACATGTTGCAGTTTCAGTTAGATCGAGTCCAGTTATCTGGTGGTCTCACCATATTTTCCTCTGGGTGCACTCTACTGCAGTTTCTTGGCTCTCTTTTTGTTTGCTACTACCTATCAGGCTATCACCATAAGTTTGTTGCTATCAGCTAGCCTAGAATGAAGTCAATGTGTAGTGTTTTAAGCATAGTCAAGATTGTGCAGATTAGCAACTGGAATGGAAACCTAAGTTGATCTTGCTTGTACCTATTAGCATTTGTGAGTACTCAATGGATATGAAAACTACTGCTAGGAGCTGGTTTAAGGACTGCTGTGCACTTTTCTTAAGAAATATAATTTCTATGCTGTTGAAGTGAAGAGCATTCAGAACTCCCATTTCAAGAATCCAATCATGCAAATGTAAAATTTCAGTACACTACAAAAATTTATCTTATACAGATCTTAGGTTCCCCATTTACTGAAGTTTTTGCAAGCTCAATAATGGAGCCACCTCAGTTTGAAGTTCACCAGCAACTTTATTTTCCTCTCTGACCATAAATATTTTATGAGAGTTGAGCCTAGTGCTTCTCTATGTATCTTACTATTTCCTGTCTTCTATTGTCGGCTATTATTAGCCTAGTATTAGGAATATGCTCAGGTGCTCAGCATCCACTTCAGTGGTTAGGAATATATTGGAGCAGGTAGACCATCTGCTATATAGGTAGCAGTGGTGCTGGACCTTCTTGTATCCCAAGTTTTGCTTTTCAATTCCAAAAAGTGGCTAAGGCCAAGCTGCCCTCAGGCAGTTCCTATCTAAGATCCATTTTGTGAAGTTCCCTAGCCAACAATTGGTATCTAGAGCCTAGGTTTGAGAGTAGTTAGCCACCATGTCCAACCACTCCGGTCTCTCTGGAGGATCCGTCGGCGCCAGAGCTCGTGCCGTCGCCGCTGGCGCGATGCTGGACATCATTACGTGGATCATAGCCGCGGAGGCAGCAGCCACTCGTGCGGCCACGACGGCCAGACAAGCAGCGGTCGTAGCCCAGGCTGCAGCGGCTGCTGCCGAGGCCCTGCGCACGGAGATGCAACCACCGCCCGCCACCAGTCGCGGTCACTAGAGCGGCGTCATGGGCAACACGGCCGATCACCAATGGTGTAGAGCGTCTACCGGGATTTGGGAGCGGCGACATCATGGCCGATGCTCACCAAGACGAACTACCACGAGTGGAGTCTCCTGATGAAAGTCAAGATGCAAGCGAGGCAACTCTGGGACGCCATCAAGGTCCGAGGCATCGACTTCCACGACTTTCGGCGGGCGCTCGAGGCTCTCCTCATCTTCGCACATGTATTGCCCTTAGAACAAAATGGTCGATGTATACATCGCCCTTAGTCGCTGAATAGCCAATGAGTTAGGCTGTAGCACCCGGTTTTAAAGACAAAACCAGATACACACTATATGTGAGCCCAGGAAGTCAATTCTCACATATAGCCACAAATAAAGGTAATATCAAGAGACAATACTTATTACATAACGTATTAGTAAAAAGGAAAATAACCTCAGAGTAATGACAGCGGAAAGGCAACTCCGATCTTCTAGTGAAGACTCCAAATCCACAGGGACGACTGACTGGTTGACCACAAGCCTAACTCCTCCAAACCAGCAATCTGGTACCCATCCGGGATTTTTATCCAATGTATAGAAAAGTAAAGCAAGCGTAAGTACATGTCGTACTTAACAATTATATCATGGGGTTCATGAGGCTCAAAAGGCTGACACTGGTTTACTGCGATTAGCTTTAATAGGTCATCTTTTTAAACAATTGAGTGGCAAAGGATTTATCATTCCCATAAACACATGATCAGGTAAACATGATTAATGTATAGCATAAACAATCAATTATTAGCATCATCATTATCCATTAGTGATCATCTCTATTCCATAAGGGTCCAAGGCCGCTTTGTCCGTGAGCATGGTCATTTATAATAATTTTTATACTCTGCAGAGTTTGTACACGTTCACTTTGTGAGTTGTGATTTACCCTTTCGCCTGAGGTAGCTATTCTCTTGACCCACTTCCAAGGAAGGTCGACAGGGTTCACTATAAAGCCTTTCAAAGAATTCATCTAACAAGTTAGGGCCGCCAGGCGTATGTGGCCCATCTCTAGGAGTGGCAAGCGTGGGCATCGCAAAGACAGACACACTTCCTAGCAGCAAAGGAAACATACCCCGCGCCTCAAAGGTAACCACTAACAAGCTAGAAAAGATCCTCATACTGAGCTAAAGCCAGAGCCATATGGCCCTCACAGCTGTACTGTAAGTCCCGGATGATCGCTTACAGATAAGTCCTTAGGGAGAGGAATCTGAAGCATATAAACACTTCAGCCCCATGTTTCCATGTTACTAAAAAGTCATGTTTTAATGTTTATTGCATATATCATTAGTCAAGTTACAAGATCATGGTTTTGATTAAGCACTAGCAATAACTATCCCAATGCATTATCCCAAAGGTTTTCAAGGTGCAAGATATCAAATATCTAGGATATCCTTAATGGCAACAAAGGAGACACATGCAATATGAATTTAGTGATTAAATGTGAATAGGTAACAAGGATGGTCCCATGCTATACTTGCCTTACACACCGATCCTTCGGTAAGCTTTATTCTTTGATGTCCTTCTTCTTCTTCTGGATCACCACGTATATCTCACAGACTGGACAATCGTAGAACACCACACAAACATCCATACACATACATGCATAGCATACAGTTGCATCTATATCAGAACAGTACACCAATCATAGAAAAATAAGTAAAAGAGATTGATATACGATTCTACGCATCACTACGAACACACAGTCGCGAGAGGCACGCTAATCGAAGCTACAATTGAAAAGTTACAACTACCGAGAGATTTGCTTAACACGTGGAAAAGAAACTATAGGCTTCGTTTATGTTAACTATATGAATTCATATACAAAAGATGTTTATAAATAATATAGATTATATTAAGTCAACTTTAGATTTGAATTATAAAACAAAAGTAAAACAAATCATATTTTATGTATAAAACCCAGTTGCATAATCTTTAATCAAAATATGATTTAAACTATGATTTTTATGAAATAGTAATGTAGTAACCATCGTTACTAAAGCGTAGATCTCGTCGTTATGAAACAAACACAACTTAAACGGACTATATCGGAGTTGAAATGAATAAGTTATGATTTAAACAAGTTTTTCTTTAATTAAATAATAGATTAAATCTACTCATGAATCTCAAGTGTTGAAAACATGCCTAACAGTTGTATAAACATATAGAAAACATAAATACAATCCTAACGCAATTTGAACGGGTCAAATCGGACTTAAAACGCAAAAGTTACGCATGAAATAAGGTCCAATGGCATTTCTATAATTAATTGAACTCAAATTTGAATTGAAACAATTAAAAATCTGAATTTAAACGGATTTTAGACTGGGCG